CCTACCCAGAAACTGTACCTACTCCTGCACACATATTCTCCATTCCTAAAGTCCAGATAAGAATGCTTTACTTCACATTGCCTGTCCACTTTTCTATCTCATGAAAATCATTGCATATAGGAAAAGGGAAGTCATTAAATTTCTCTCATTCAAATATTACCAAATGGGAGAGGAAAAAAGGAAGGAAACAGAATAAAGACAACTGTCTCTGAGGCAGTGTTCCCAAGTGTGTCTTCTTTCAAATAATGATTTGGAGATAGCCGGTTCTACAACTACCTGCTGCCCACGCCAGTTATGGCAACTTAAATCTACAGTAATTACTATTTGTTTCATACCTATGCAAAGGAAGTATGCAAAGGACTCAAAAAAGACACTTTCTAATTACAACAAGATAAGATGGAGTTAATTTATAGTAGGTGGTTTGGAGTTAATAGCGACTGCCCAATTTTTTCAGATTCAGTGTAATTTGGTACAGGATGCAATAAATAATTGGGGGGAGGGAGGAGGTTTTAGGAAATTTAAAAAAAAAAAAAAAAAAGAAAAAAAAGGCTTTGCACAGAAGTGCAGGACACACAATGGCCTTTTGCCATTCAGGTCTCCTCCTGTAACCTCTGTGAGAGCAGATCCCAAAATAAGTTAGACATATTCCACTTTGAATAAGCTTGATATGTCTTATTTGGAAGATCTAAGCTGCCATGTTCACCTCACTTTGAAGATAATAGCTTTATTATAAGAACTCTTTTGAAATTATGTATCTTTATACACTTATCTGGGACACAGAAGATAAAAGGTTTGCTCTTAATAACAAATGTTTCTAGTTGCTCCGGAAGCCCACCCCCCTTCTACCAACAACAAAAGTATTCTTAAAAACATGCATTTTTCTGGGTTTTCAGAAGTCAAATAAAAACATGCAGGAACTGAAATGATAAACAAAACTTATGCCTCAAATTCTTCATAATTTGGAAATTTAGTTATTAGAAATAACACAAACATACCAGAGCTAAGATCTTTGTAGAACTGTTGGCTAGTCAAAACCTGGGTAAGAACTGATCGCATTGCTCCTCCCATTTTGGTCAAGTCTTCTAGAAAGGAAACATGAGGCTCCAAAACCTGGAGGATTTTCTGAAGGTCTTTCTCTGATGGCAGATCAAGAGCTGAAAACCACACAAGAACTTTTGGTGTAAATGTAATGTAATTTGATCAAGACCTTCACAAGGCAGAACAGCTATGACCACCACAAAATAAACTGTGTTCATAATGCTCTAAAATTCACATGTACAAGTTTCAAATTAATCCTGATTTCATTTTCTGGAAGAGCTCAACACAATGCTAGGTAACCTTTAAAACATTTAAGAAGCTCTTCAGCAGAGAACAAAGATCAAATGACCTAGAGCCAGGCAATAATTTTGTTAGGAAAGGAGGCACAAAATTAAATACTATTAACTATAGAGAGCATTCATGCATTCTATACAGAATTCATGTACTGTTTCTTCACAGACTGCAAAGCAAGAGATAGCAGCATGGTAAGATATGCTAGATACATGCAAATTGAAAACATACCAGGCTCATTATACCCCTCTCTTAAGTGCTGAATAAGACTAAAGATGAACTGTGGAAGAACTAATTCTGACATCATCAACAAGTCTTTTGGGACACATGGAACATTTGAATTTGACTTAATCCGGTGTCTTTTACAAAACCTATAAAACAGATGAGAGAAATGTTAGCCAAGCACAGCTCAGCAGAACATATACTAAGAAAATAATTATTTTTTATATGTATAGTTTTCAGATATTATATGCATTTACACTAAAATTGGGGCACAAATGATAACCTGAAATTCCAGCTAATATGTTCAAACCCATTTTGTTTCCAAGTCCAGCAAATTATTAAGGTGCCATTTTTTTTCCTTTATCAGAGTTCACATATCTAACATCTCAGCGACTTCCCAGACATGCTAGAAGCTTCTTCCACTGAACCATTAAAATTTTTCTTTATCAAGATGTATCTCCCAACTTTTTAAGAGACGAATTGAAAATATCAAACTAAAACAGTTCCTCTCTTTTCTGTGAAACAGTCAGGGGCTGGCCTGAGACTTCAAGTCCTCATTCAGCTGCTGACATTTTTAATGTCTTTTGACATTAAATAAAAAGAACTCCCAAAAGCTTAAGACATTGCAGGATGAGTATTTACTTCAAATGTATAACTAAGATTGACTTATCAAAGGATGATAGAAACATCCTGCAAAAATTGTGCAAATTGTTTTATTTAAAAAGAAAACAGTTCTTCTTTGGCAAATTCCTCTATGGTAGTAGCTGAGGCTTGGCTAATGCACAGTGACATGAGGTTAAGCCAAACCCTGTTAGAGCAGACGGAATGATTTCCCACTGACCTAACATGAGCCTGACTCAAGAGCCAATGAATACTTTTCAGCTCCAAATCTATTTTTAGAAAGGACATTTACCAACATTGAAGAGTTATTTACCCATGTCAAAGAAGAAGCTAGCAAGGACTAAAGAGTCTAAAACCACACCATTTTGACTGGAAAGATTCACTAGATTTTACCAGTATTTTTTCATCAAAGATTCAGAAATGGATTCAGCTTTAAATATGAAAACTGTTTTCTAAATTTATTCAAGTCTCCACTATATTTGCTATGCCATGCTTTCCAGAAGAAGCCTCCTGCTTTCTACAACATAAGCCTTTCTTCTTTGAGGACCTTTCTTCACCTTCAAAAGAAGGACACAGAAGAAAGCCACAGAGCAAGAATCTGAATTTAGGAGGGACACACACACACCAAAAAAAAAAAACAAAAAAAAAAAAACAACCCAAAACAAACCAAAAAAAACACAACAAGAAAAAGGGGGAGACAGAAGTGCAGCAGCTCAGATGGCATCTTCTCAAAAGTGGCCAGCATCTTCACAAGATTAAAGATTAAGAGCCTCTCCTTTGCTAATTAGAGATTACACTTTTTAATTAAAAGGTAAGCAAGGACAGTACTAGCCAGATAATTTGCAGTTTGCATATACAGCCTATGCATCCTCAAGAAGGAAAAAGTGCCTGGCAGAAAGAGCTCCGTGATGACTGATAACTTTCTGTTAAAGCACAAATGGATGGCTTTCACTTTCACCATTCATCTTTGCAAATGACATTTACAGAAGTTATGAAGTCATTCACTTTTTCACTTCTGTCTTTCACTTTTGTCTCATCCACATACAGAAACCTGAACTGCCAGAAAATCACAGATCTGGCCTGATCTATACTGCAAAACGGTACCTCATTTGTTATTTTAAAGGTATTTGGTTTCCCCTTTCACCACTATCCTTATAAGAAGGGATCAGAAGTAAATAAATACTTAAAAGACACACAAGGAAAGAATTACTATGAAGGGTGTTTTAGTAACATTCACTGGTGTCCCCCCCCCATATTTTGCATTCAGCCAAACGATGCTTTTGCTGGTTATGATCACATATATGCTAAGGGAGCCACAGTAATAAAACTCACACGTAGTCATTTTGAATCCCAGCTTCTGCTAAGCACAAAGCTTCCTTCCACAGAAACCAAAAAGTTCTACTCCCCAAGAAGCTATGCCAGCATACCAGCTGTGAATCAGCCTATGGATTAATAATCCCAATTTTAACATATCCTGTAGCTGAACTTTATAAATCATGTCTTCTTCTGAGATTCCCAAGAAAGCACTATTGACTTAAAAAGTGTGCTATTATTACTACATTAATACAGATTCTGAAAAACCAAGAAAGAACCCAAATTCAATTTAGTATAAGGAAATGTCCTTTCACTGTCACATGCACAAATTACAGCAGTTCCAAACAGGGAACGATTTCTAGATACCAGGCCCTAAACCTTAAAGTAGGAATGCCAGTATCATTTTACAAGATGAGCCATATTCTATATTTATGGTTCAAAGGCTACAGTATTAAAGTATTGTACAAAATCACTACACTATTGCAGCTGTTCTTAACTAACAGAACACCTCCTTGCTGACAGGACTTGCCACCGGACAAGCTATTGGCCACACTGAATTTGAAGGGCAAGAATTAGTCTAACGATCCAGAAAGGCAACGCCCAGACTATTATTTACAAACCCAGCTGAAGAAATCTTCCTGAGCCCAAGTTCGTAACATTCACACATGCAACACTGTTTTATGCTGAATTATGGAAAAACAATCCTGCCACTCTGCGGTACTTCCACAATCCTAAAATACCGATACTGTGTTCTGCTCAAAGCTCTACTGCCTTCACAGAGTGCTATACAACTCTTTTACAGATATTGACAAAAATACCAGACAATGACTTGGAAGATCTTCAGAGCTAAAACAGCAGCTGTTTCAACTTACGAAGAGCCAGAAGCCCAAGCTGTGCCAAGAAAGAAACAAGTCAAAACTTCTTATACAGGCAGAGACACCTGTGACAAACTTCTCAATGGGTTACACAATCACTGGACAAACAGCAGCCAAAGCTATTCCATAATCAGCTCCTTATACTTTCTAGAACAGCTTCCTTACCACAGTTTCAGTTAAAGAATTGTCTGTCTCACAAATGTACTTTTCAAAACACTTCCGAGACTATTGAAATAGGGATTTAATGGGCAACAAAAAGGAACATTTTCCAAACCTCTCCAGGTAACATCAAGCTCTGGAAATAACACCACTTAAAGAAGGCAGAAGTCTCTAACAGGGGGTGATGAAAGGTGGATATAATCTACATAAGAAACACTTTTCTGAAGAAGCTAAAAAATAAAAATAACTATGGAGAGGAAGTGACTAGACAAATGACAGATCAACCTGACCTAAGCTTTATTACATGATTTCAATCTTGCAAAATAATTTTTAACAAGTGTGTAGTTTCTATTTAATCTTTAGTACTCCAGATTTCTTGGGCTATACAGTCTTCCTTGTGAATATTTTTACTATTATACTCCAATGGGCTTTAAGAACAGAGTATTTCGGTGAGAGTGCCAATTCATTAGCCACATATAATCAAGCTGTATCTCACTGAAGGCCTAACATGAAAGTACTAAAATACAGGTCTATGAGGAGAAAAAAAAAAAGCAATCATCCTTTTTCCTTCTCTTCTCTGATTCAAAAGTATATTCTGTTGGGACTTTTTTGTTTGTTTGCTGGGTTGTTTGTTTTGGTTTGTTTGTTTTTTTTTTCTGTGCAGTTCACTGCTTTTGAAATTGCTTTTTCACAAAAAAGACAAGGCTAATTATAGCAAAAGGAGAGAATAACACACTAACTTGCAATTAAATAAAAACAGCTTTGATAAGCGCTCTTGTCCACATGACTTCAAAATAATTCCTGAAATTTCTTATGCTGACATCTACATGACTAAGGAATACCATGTATTATTAACATAAGCAGCATTAACATCTTCTGAGCAACCTTCACTTCAGGCTTTCCAGATTCATTCCATTCTCTCCTACTATTTCCATCTTTAATAATTCCACCATGAATTTCCAAAATGTATTTTACAAGCGCCTGCAGGTAAAGTAACTCTTTAACTTCAAACTACAGTTTCACAACTGCATAAGTTGAACTAGGTCAGTCCTGCCACACCCTGTCTTCAGCCCTCTTATGTGTTCCAGCACTGGCACTCCATTGATCCTGTGTTAAACCAGCTCAGAAGCTAAGCTACCAGAAGTTATTTACTTTCAAAATAAATAAATAAAAATTAATTGGGCCATCTTAAATTCAACAACACTCACAAACCTGCCTTCTTGAAATCATACCGAAATCCCTAAATCATCCTGCCATCATCCCTTTCCTTTTTTCACATGACAAAGCAGAGAACAAAAAACCAAAAACCCAGCAATGCAGGAGGATGCTGTCCTGGCCAACCAGCACATCAGGTAGATAAAAGGCTCCCTGTGAAGCCAACTCCTCCTCCACTTCATAGGAGAAATTTTAAACTTCCCCAGTTATTACAGCAGCTGATAAATGCCTTTAGTCCCAGCCAGACCACACCTTTACAGCTTTCGAACATTTGCTCAGCTCTCCTTCCACTACATCCCACAGTGTCTCATGTTTCAGTCGCATTCCAGAATCTTGACATAAGTTCATGCATACACAGAGGGACTATTTTTACCCTCACTTTTCTCTCACTGTTTTGTCCCCTGCCTCCCCATGTTTAAAAGTCATTTGTTTTAAACTGGATCATAAAGTTGTCAAAAGAAGGCATCCCATTTTCACAAGTTTTATGGTACTACAACACTATGAGTACCTGACTCTCTAAGAAGCTTTTAAGGACAAGAATCTGAGACTCCAGTGACAGGACCTAAATGAAAACCACTGTGAAATCAATTCCTAAGCAAAGAAAATGAACCTCCACTTGATTCTTCAATTCAGTACCAATATGTAAACTGAGCTTTTATTTAAGACATTACATACACCTCATACTGTATGCCACTTGACCGACAATGTCATACAATGTTTCATAAGGGAGTCAAACAAAACGAGCAAGCTTTGTAAATAAGAATTCAACACACACTTTAAAAATAGTACACATTTTGTCCCCACTGTAAAACTAACATGCTCATACCATTCTTACATACACTGAATCTACAAAATAGATGCAAGATGCAAGCTAGTTTTTGACTGCTACAGTTGTCTCTCAGAGCTCTTGTGAACCAATTTCTCATTATGTACTGGTAAAGAGTGTTTAAATGTTTTT